TACCTCTTTCAGGCTAGTGATTTTTGAGGTCATCTCTATAGTTGGGAACCTAGCTGGAGACCTTTTAAAGGGGCCTGACTTTCAGGCAGCAGGCAAGGGCCAAGAGGAGAAAAGTGACTGGTGGAAACAGAGAAACACATTTCCCCACAGATGCAGAGCATGAGAAATGGGTATGCTGCTGTGTCTCTTCCTTCCCCATGGTGTGAAAACCAAACACATGATTAACCCATTGGAAAAGGAACATAATCTGAGGTCAGAGGCAAAGGGTCACTGACTGCCTGGAAGACAGTGATTAAAATCAAGGGCCAGATGCTCATATGATGTTAATCAGCAGAGCTTAATGGAAGCCAATGAAGCTGCATTGATTTATACCAGCTGTGGCTCACACCATGTTTATGTAACTTTTGGCCACTACCAGCCTGAGCTACATTCACACTAAAGCAATTCAGCAGTGAAAGACTCCATAAAAGTCATATCTCATGTCTTGAAGGACAAACCTATATATCTTAACTTCCTAACTGCAAGACTGAATATACTAATATTTCAGATCTAAAACAAATTGCCAATAAGTGGCCTAAAGTAGTTATATCTTGAAGCTTACCATAGCCCAGAAATAGTTTGCCATCTTGTGCCGGTTTTGAAGTACTGCCCATAAAAATAAATCCCTCCAGGGATTCTCACTCTTCTGGTTCATATCCAGGAGCCCCGGTAGTCGTTTTGCATTCGTTTTATCCTACAATACATTTTAAGAAAAACTTAAAATCTGATTTTATAATTTCATTTTATATTTTTAATATATTGTCAAATGTGTCTGTGCCAACTACATGATCCAAGCAGCAAATCAGCAGTGCAAGTAACTTTCAGATCCTTTTGATTTTCCTTAGGCTCAAGAGGTAACTAATTCACTCTATATACTGAATCAAAGGGCCCACGATACAACTTATTATGTGTGAGAACATTTGGGGTGAAATCCTGGCCACACTGAAGTCAATGGCAAAACTCCCATTGATTTCACTGGAGCCAGGATTTCATCCTGTATGTGTAATATCATCCCCAAACCCCCTGTGATTAGCTCATCTAAGTTGGACTTGAATTATACCAGGTTCTGCATAACTGGGGCAAAGAACTCCGTTTCAGGGTAAACCAACAAAAGGTATTCTATTTAAACATAAAACCAGTCTCAACATGGCTCTGTACACAACAAGAGAGAGCACTGGAGTGCCCCTTCTCTTTTTAGTCCAAGCACCAGCTGCTCTGCCTCACTGCTTCTTACCTCACATGAAGCTTAAAATAAAATGCAGTTTATTTTTCAAATATTTTGAGGATTTAGTCTATATAAATAGATCATGCTGAAATCGGTGGGGGAGGGGCAAGTCTGTTAGCTATTTTTGTCCCCCATCAATAAAAGAACTAGGAAGTTGTTGGCATATCTACTTGAAATTCTGCTAGGATTTGTAGTTTAGAGATCTGAATCCTACAGAATTGCTGATTAAACCTGAATCACAGATCCTATTTTTTGAGTCCCGGCATTGCCTTCTATGAATCCACCCCCATACTTTGAACTTAATTCAAGATTCAATACCTTGTAGTGGGTGGGTGGGAGGGGTGGGGGCATAAAGAGAAATCACAAAATGTTTTCCAAACAAAATCCCTCCCTTTTTAATTCAAAAATTAAAAATTGGAAAATTCAAAACATTTTAACGAATTTTATAGCTGGTTGAAGAAAAAGGAAAAAATTGTCAAGTTTCTCCAATTCTCTGCCCTGCCCCCATTTTCAAAATGTTGGACAGCTGTAAATAAAATCCAAAAACAGAGAGAACAGCGGTTAATATGTGAACCTTAACTGTAACTCACAGCTTTCTTCTTGCTTCCTGGCTTGACCTCTTGATAAAAACCTTTACATGCATCATGAAGAAAATCCTTGAGCACTCTAGAAACTTCATGGAGGGTAAAGAGCGGGCAGACGTCCATCATTTCCTTATGTTGTTGACCAGTGATCCCTGCTAGAGTCAGCCTGCTTTCCTCATGTTTCTTCTGTAGGAGTGCATAGAGGAGGCATTTCCGAGAGATGGAGCAGTAGAGCCTCTGAAGCCGGCTGTACGTCAGGAAGTCATACATGTTGGCCCCATTGTCGATAAATAACTTTACAAATTCTGGCTTATCATTCACCAGAGCATCCATCATCACTTCCTCTAGGTCACAGGACTAGATTTCCATGAAACACAAAAGGGAATAATTTATATTTTACGAGTATTGCCATGGGGGATTAGGGTTGGGAAATTAGACTTTCACCCACTGTTTAAATCCAGACCAGATCAGCAATCGTTAAAATTTGCTATCACCTGACTGATTCTGGGTGGGAGGGGAGAGCTGATATGAAATGAAAGAATGGCCTCATATCAGGTCTTTGAGCATGTGTGTGTGCACAATGGAAAAACTCCATCACAATTAGTATTTATGGTTACCCTGTTACTATGGTATGTATATTTGTAATGCGGCAGTGTGTAAGAGCCTGTCATGGGCCAGGTCATTGTGCTAGTTGCTATACAAATACAAAACAAAAGGATGCCCGAAGGGCTGTTGGCAGTTTCGGTGGGGTAGCCAAGGACAGAAGGGCTATGGCAGCTGAAATATCCTTGGCTCTTTAGATATAATCCTTTGTGGTCAAGAAAGACAGACGCAATGCGAGGACAATGCACACTGCCACCTCCTGTGCTTTCATGGGGAATAAAAGAGGGCTTTAGTTTCTAGTACTACTGATCTGGTATGTTTCACTAGCTACATGAAATTCTTGCCCATCAACAATAGGATTTATGCAACTACAATCTAAGCAAGTAGAGTCTGGTACCTTCCATTCAACATCTCCATTGAATATTTCACTTTTAGCTATGTCCACTCTATTCCAGGCCACTGCCAGCTTCAGTTCATCCAGGTATTCCTGGGCTTCCTGACTGTGACTTTTACAGGCTGCCAAAAACAGGAAACACAAATACATTCAGCATTTGACTCTACGTTAAATTGGACGTTACGTAAAGTTTAATCAAAGTGTGACTGTAATGAGACCTCTTGTTCAGTTATGTCATATTTGTGGGTTACCTACATGGAAATCCCTCACACTTTTTTATTTTCCTCCCTTACCTGAGGGACGGTGGTCTGAAAGTTTACATCCACCTCACATTTTGAATGTTGTTTTCTAGCCAAAATCTCTCTCTCACGTGTTCTTGGGCCTTCAAACTGAATCATGTTCTTCAGAAGAGGGTATGTTTGGGAGTTTTTTAATGTATTAACTCACAGGATATGGAATCCCTCCCTCCCCCTGTTGAATCTGGGATGATCCAACACAAACTGCAATGGATGGCAATGCTACTATAGAACTGTTTCAGAAGACAGAGTGCAGGTTTCTTGTCGTAAAACTGGAAGTTTCGCTATGGAAGCAGAGTTTGATGTATGGCTTCTTAAAATGTCTTTAATCAGAATATACTATCACCAACACGTTTCAATTCCTCTATAGCCTATTATTTCTAAGAGGCGCAAACAGCAACCATGGATCAGTTAATATACTATACAATATGATAGCGAGCATTACTTAAAAAAATTCCATCACATCTAGTGTGATCTGATAAAACTTATATCCAATTGTCCCTGTTGCATCATCTACAAGCAAGCAGAAGACTGTACATCAAACAGGAACACTGATCAAACAGCCCACTTTGCTTGCTCCTGTCTTCAAGAATAAGATACACTTTGCTATTAGTTCTCTGTTTCCCTGGTCATTGTGGCCACTTTACTATCGGTCTGAGTTAGTGGAAACGAGATTTTGTAAATATGGAACCCAATCCCAGCATGTGAAAATTGATCAGGCTTTACTTTGATGAAAGCTGCCACTGGATTATCACATTAGTTTTGTGTAACTGTTTACTTATTGGAAGAGCATTTTTGGTTCTGAATGGAGGCAATAGCCCGTTTATAAGTGATTTTTTGGTTTGCGTTTTTTCCTTCATTTGAACATCAGTGTGAAAACCACTTCCCAGCTTTTGGATGTTCATGCAATTCAGTCATTGTGCAGAGCATCCTGATTGCACACAGTTTGTAGGAAGGTTTTGCTCAGACTAAAGTTTATAGCTAATTTAGGATGAAATTGTGGCTTGCTTTAAGTGCAATTACAAAGGGGTACGGGTATGTAAAATGCCCTGCTCCCTTGTGTAGACATAGACTATCAACATCATGGCTTGCCCCATGGGAGGGAAAGCAGCCTCCGTTGAACTGTCACTTCCCTTCCAGGTAGGCTGAGTGGGTAGAGCCTCCTTGACTCAATTGCCTGCCATCTGCCAGCCAGTGTTTCTAAGCAGGTAAGGAGTGGGAGCTGGTAAGCTGTGCCAAGGAAGGGGGGAGGGGTGCAGACTACTGTACTTTTCCACTGGAGATCCAGTTGTGAGCCTGAGGCACAGGTTGGTCTCTGGCCTGTTCCTGGGGCAGTGACACTATGAAATGCCCCTTATTTAAGGTTGTGGTAACTTCACCATTTTCCCCTTAACTTCTTATATAATTTAACCTCCCTCAAACTATAACTCCTTGTCCATCTAAATTAAATGAAAAACCCTTCCATTTAAAATATGTAGCTACAAAAATAACCCCCTTCATTTGATACAAAGTCATCTGAACAGATTGTTATATGAGAGACAGAGTTGGCTTGTCTATTTCTTCCATTGGGATATTTTGAAAAAACTGAAAAATATAAGGGGGGGTGGCTTTTTTTCTTTCTTTCTTTTTTTGGTGTTTTTTTTTAAAAAATTTTTTTGGTGAGTGGGACACTTTCTTTATCTTGTTGTTGTTGTTGTTATTAGCACTGAAGGTCTGACCTGAAGTCAATGAGAGCCTTTTGTATATATTTCAGTGGGTTTTGGATCAGACACATTGGAAGCTTGACATCTTCATAATTCACTTTCTGGCCAAATTTTGTAATTTAAAATTTAAAATGTATTCTAAAAATGCTCCTTCTAACTCTAGTCTTAACATTGTAGTCTCGTTCACCTCTTAGCACGTACAAAGTGCACTTGGTTGAGCAATAACACAAGCACACTTAGCTCTCAGGGATAAACACTGTAAATTATCATGCAGATAATCTCAGGTTAGAAAACAAAATGTGGGCAAATCTCAAATATAGACTTTAACAGATCTAGCAACTATAAAGACCAGCCAAAAGAGATTCTTACCTTTGACCAACGCTTTCAAAATGACTGTGTCTAATTCATCTGATCCTTCTTGCTCAAAACTGTGCACTGTTAAAAGATGCTGCTGGGAAACAATGTTCTGAATCTACGGGGTTGAAACAAATTGTTTTATTCTTCATCCTATCATTACTGTTATTACAGTTAGGCCTAGAGGCCCCAGCTGAGATGACATACATACATACACTCCTTGCCCCAAAGAGCTCACATCTTAAATAGAAAAGGCAGATCGTGTGGAAGGAAGGGAGAACTTTTATCCCCATTTTACAGATGGGGGAACGGAGGCACAGAGAGAACAAGTGTCTTGCCCAAAAGATCCTTCTTCTCTCCCATTCTTGATAGTACATACAGTGCAGTGGGTTCTAACCCTTCCACCTGCCATCTTTCCTCCCATTAGCTCTTTCCTTTCTTTAAGGCCACACTCTCTAAAATTGCTTTGTGGAAAAGCCATCACATATTGATATGCAACCAGAGGGTCAACAAAATGCTTTCTTTTCCTCCTCCCCTGAGCTTCTTTGCCTCTTGAGTTTCCCACAGTGCTGCTACCAAGACTTTAAGACATCATGCTACTGTGTGCATCCTATGGTGATGGTGACCTAGCAAGCTTATGCCTGACAGGACAGACGTGTGGAACTTTAAAACTGTGGATTACAGTAGAGGAGGTGATTTGAAGGTCAGATTCAGTTGATTTATATACCTATTAATTTATTTGGGAAAGAGTATCCACTTCAGTGTTATCTCCCACATCTTGATTGCAAAGCTCACTGTCCCTTTGATCTATAAATTTATATGCCTTGTGGGTCTTAGTGTTTTATTTATTTCTTTTAAGAGTAACTTTCATTGTTGCTGTTGGAAAAGAATGTGGATGGTGGGAGTAAAAAGGAGTGGTGAGAAGCAACGGTCTATTCACACACATCCAGAATCAGGCTTCCACTCGGCAGCTGCGGGTCATGAATTGGGTCTCATTTTCCACAACTGCAGAACGTCCGCAGCTGCAGAGCTTGAATCGTGTGTCACGTCCTCCAGAAACTGTTTAGTGGAGGATAGAGCCCTAAGTGTTCAATTGAATTACTAAGCCAAAATAAGTATGCTCTCCATTGAATGCCTGATTCTGGTCTCAGATACCTTTGTGTGTGCCATTAATCTCAGAGCATTTGTATCTCTAGCATATTTTTTGAGCAGCCTCCCAGCAATTCTGAATATGGGCAGTGGATACCAGATGAGCCACATAACGTAGAAATGATCTCAGAGTTTGTGAGTGTGATACATTTAATATATTAAACCAGTTCACTTACTGTTGCTGTCCAATGGAGAATGTCCTTCGATAAAAAGTTTTCTGTAGGGAATTTCTCTTTAAGTTGCTTTTCAACAACTTGTGGCACAATAAGCTGTGGCTCATTCACTACTGCAGCTAAGATGTCAGCTGTACCCCCAGATCCTGCTAAGATAAGCCAGGGAGCAGAGTTTTCCAAGCCCCTGCAAATTCTCTGTGGTTTTAAAAATACATTTTAGAATGCAGTTATGGAAAGACAAAATACAATGCATTCGTATATTAATATCTTGCAACTAGGGATATGATTGAATACCTGAACCAGATTCACTCCATTCAGCCTCAGGAAGAATATTCAGGATCACCACGATACTGACATCTGTGAAGGGATGGCTTGCAGATAGCCACTTAACTATACCCTGTTCCACCATTCTCTTCCCAGCTAGCTAAGCGTCCTGATTTGGGTAGCCAAGGTTTAAAAACAGTCACTCTCTGGTAGCTTGGTGTAAAATCTCCATTTTTGAATCTTGGGGCCAGAATTAGCAAGAAAAAGAGAAGCATTGCATAGGGAACTCCTCAGTGAGGCACAGTAATTCTGCTGAGGTTGACTGCAAGTGCTGTAAAGCAGAAATTTCTTGAGGGAACACCTCATCTGGCTACTCAGCATCAGCTGTGAAACCTGGCAACTGGAAGTTTATAAGAAGGCTGCTGAAAACATCCACAAAGAGCGGCCTTTATGCCAAGTTTCACGATATCTGTAGATGGGAAGAGTCATGTAATCACAATGAGGTGCAGGGGAGGCCATGGAAGTTGTATCCTTCAGAGGCTAATAACCATATTATCCTAGCTGAAATAATAATTCATTACCAGCCAATTTATATTGTGGGGTATGTGACAATCTCATTAGATGTTCAGACCTCAGTGCCAGCTCTCCTCCTGCACTTTAAAAAAAAATTCTAGAATCCCTGACATATGTGATGGTTTACAAGTGATAGCGATGTTAAAAATAACAATTGGCTATTCAATCCCAGCACATAGGTGGGCCCAGAGCAACACCTTCCAGTCTTTTCTTGGTCTCCCAGTCTTGTTCTCTAAAGATTTCAAAAGAAGATCAATTGGCTTGCACTGCAAGGCTTTCAACATCAACCATGCAGGAATTGCTGCCATATTTAACGTATAAAAGAGAAGGTTAAGAGGTGACTTGATCAGTCTACATTGAGTGAAGATCTTGGATACTTGAGGGTACTTCAATCTAGCAGATAAATGCTTAACAAAATCCAGTGGCTGGAAGTTGAAGTGAGAAAAGTTCAAATAGGAAACAAGGCGAAGACACTCTTCTCTCCCCCAACACACACACTTTTTTTTAAACAGTGAGGGTCATTCACCACTGCAACATATTTACAAGGTGTCTGGTAGATCCTCCCTCACTTGGAATCTTTAAATCAAGCTTGGCTGTCTTATTAAAGTCCGATGCTCTAGTTCAAACACAAGCTGTTGGGCTCAGTGTAGGAATCACTGGGTGAAATTCTATGCTGACTTCCTGCATAACAGGCCAAAGATAAAATGGAAATTGAAGAAAAAGAGGGTCATCCAGCTAGAGAGCCAGTTTCCAAACATAATGTGTGAAGCTGCTGGGGAAAAGTTCAAAGCTGAATCTTTGGGTCAATTTACAAATGCTGCTAAGACAGAGTTGGCAGTGTTCCTCACTGAGCCCACTCTTCCATAAAGAGAAGATCTGATGGAAATATGATGCTATCAGGCCAGCACATACTGCAAATCTGCCGTTGCATTTCCCTGAGTTCTGAGAGGCAGGACTGAATATGCAATGTCTGATCATTGCCAGGAAAAACTGCCTGGCTACAGGGATGCTGGAACAATTTGTATAGTGGGGATGCTGAGAGCTATTGAACCAAACAGTAAACCCTGTATATGATGGAAACCACTTCAAGCCAGAGGGTGCAGCAGCACGCCTAGCACCCCTAGTTCCAGCACCTATGCCTGGCTAATCTGTTTGCACTTGCTTTGTGAGGAATGGCTAGAATTTCTAATTCACCAGATTTTTTTCAGATTTCCACTGCTCACTTTCTGCGGTGTTAGCTAGATGTGTAGTCATATAGGAAACTTAAATGATCTGCTGATACTTTTAAAACTAAGCAATATTTCTGTTGAATTTGCTCAAACTGCACTATTTCTTGCAGTAAGGGATGTACTGATGAAGCTAATGAATGTAAGTTGAATTTAATTTTTTTTCTACTAAAAATTAACTGTTACACAATTTGGATAATATCTTACTACCCAAATTTGTAGTTGGCACCCAGCAGAACGTTCTGCTAAGTATTTATTTAATATTTGACAGTTACAAAACATGGATTTGTTACCTCCTTGGGGTATTTTTAGAATGAATTTTTAAATATCACAAGTTGCTTCTTACCTCAAGTGTTTTTGGTCCTCCATTTACCAGTAAACAAAGCACAGGGATTTCAATGCTACCTGTTCCTGTGAAATAGATGAGAAAACGTTTAAATTCATAAAGATGATGTTGAGTTGCTGCCATCTTCTGGAAAGCATTGTGCCATCATATGGTCCATGGACTGAAACAAGAGCAATGGACCCTGAGAACACAGGCAATAGGATGGTTGACAGCAAAGGCTGTGAAAAGCACTATGGTCCAGTGGTTAGAGCGTTAGCCTGGGGTTTGGGATCAGGGTTCAATTCCTTGCTCTGCCACAGACTTCCTGTGTGACCTTGGGCAATCAGTTCTGTAAAACAGGAATAATAGCCCTGCCCACCTCACAGGCATGTTGTGAGGATAAATACATTAATGAGTGTGAGGTGCTTAGATACTATCGTGATGGGTGCCACCTAAGTACCTCAGATGGATGGCGAGGCCCTGGGAGAGCCAGTATTTGGAATGCTAGGTTAAATACAACGAGAACACACACTGCAAATAGATTCTAACTATTGTCCACTTGTCCTGACTTAAAAAGCGGTCAGTGTTCTAGATGCTAGAAAAACAAGGTGGTGATGGCTGGTCCTCTATTTCCAATAGGCTCATGAAAGCTTCATATGGAATTAGGGTGATCCTCTCTAACTTTCTGATCCATACCCTCCGAGCTGAAGGGAGCTCTATGTAGGTAGACTCCTCACTACATCTATGCACACGCTTAACATTATAGATGCATAGAGCTGTTTTGGGGTTTTTTGCTTTTTTAAAAATATGTACTTCCAACTTTCAAATAAAACTGTTTAAAGTGGGAAAAGTTTTGACGAGTGGTATTTTTGGTAAAAACATTGAATTTTTGACAAAAATGTTTTTTTCATTGAAAAATTGAAATTTTGACCATCTCTCCCGATGTGGAGCCATCACATGGGATCACTCACATGCATCAAGTTACACATGTCAGTACATGTGTTTCCAGGATCTGGGACTAAACTATGCAGGAAAATATGAAGACAGAATTCAGGAAAAGGGAGGATAAATGGGAAAGTGATATGAATGAGAGGCCTAGGTGATTCTGTTAAGGACAGATGACCCAGATCTGAGCCAGAATTAACCATACATTTCTTTCTTAATGTTCTGTTAGGTTGCTTCACATCAGCCTACAGTGCAATGCAACTTTGCCTAATGTGATGACCAGTAATAGTAAAACTCTATATGATGCAACAACTTTGACAATTTAAAAGAAATGTTTGCAGCCATGCATTTTTAACCATTTTCACAGGAGCATGCAAAAAAGCTGAAGTACAGTCATCCTTCACAATTCCCCAACAGCTGCTGCATTTATTTCTAAAGACCGCACAACTGCAGTTTATACTGTAAAATCTACCAAGTGCATTTCAAATGGGCCTGCAAGTATGTCTAAAAATACACCTCTACCCTGATATAACGCTGTCCTCGGGAGCCAAAAAATCTTACCGCATTATAGGTGAAACCATGTTATATCAAACTTGCTTTGATCCACTGGAGTGTGCAGCCCCGCCCCTCCGGAGCACTGCTTTACCGCGTTATATCCGAATTCGTGTTATATCGGGTCACATTATATCTGGGTAGAGGTGTAGTGGCTCCCACCCAAAAAAACAACCCCTGTAGAGTCAAGCGATGAATGCATCAAATAGCAAGGAGAAGAGGACAATTTGGGTCAAGTGATTTTTAAACATCTCTTTATTTATTGATCTCTTTTATTATTAGGTTGCCTGAAGTAATGTATATATCACCAATTCCCACTCCATGAGATATCCCAGAATAACTGGTGCAGGTGGTGACAGAACTAACGCAGAACTCAGTTGGAGCATGAAGATGACATATAGTGGGGTCAGCCGTGACTTTGTCTTGTACTGCATGACATGTTTTTGTTATTTGTCTTTAAAATTAAATTCTAGTCTGCAAAGTGACTCTTGCTTAGTTTACAAGTAAAAAGGGGTTATTTCTAAATGCCAGCCCTGCAAACTCAGCCTGAGATTTGAGTCAAACCAGGTTCTTTCCTATATGAATGTCATCACCTTAACAAACATTCTTTAGGCTCATTTGCTTTCTCTGTTAGTCCATGCAGCTGCGTTGCAGGCAGAATTTGGCCTGCAATTGGGAGCTTAGTTAACAATTCTGCTGATGAGTGATAAGAGAGATTATCCAGCTCACTTTCTGCTAGCTACATTAGCTCTGCAGATATAGAAGCAAGAGGAAGTGAAAACACTTTCCACTATGGGTGGTTGGTTGGTACAAGGCCTATGTAACACTTAGGTCCCATTTTAAACAGTAGTTTTAGGTGTGCATAGACCTTGCACTGTCTGTACAGGGTGGAATTTCTCTCTCAAATAAACGGACATGACTGAGCATTTCAGCGAGCCCCTCGTTCTGTAGATGTGATGTCTCCTGAAGTGGGAGCCAGCAATCCATGAGTTTGGGGGAGATCTAAAACGAAAGTACAGTATGCTGAATGCCCCTCTCTTATAGATGTTATTTGGGGGCACTTAATCTACATTTATTTGCAGTTTTTTTAAAGCTACTTGCATGTCAGCTTTGAGCATTGAAGAAGGATAGCCTTGCGCTTAAGGAGCTAGACTGGGATGTAGGAGTTCAGTTCCCAGCTCTGAGTGTTGCTTTTTTGGCCTTAATTTCCCAACAATTAAAAGTAGATAATGATACTTCCTTTATGTCTTGTCTATTTAGACTGTAAACTCCTAGGGGCAGGGACTGTCTCTTACTATATGTATAGTGCTTGGCACAATGGGCCCTGATTTCAGCTGGAGGTTCTAGGTGTTACTAGAGCATAAATATTGTGATAACTTTTTATTGACTAAACGGTGTAGCCAATTGTTTGACTACACTTGTGGTTCATTCCTAAAAAAGTTCAAGAGACCAGATAACCGAACTTAGGCAAATGTATTGTCTAAAGTCAAAGCAGTACAATATGAAAAGGAGACATAGGTAACCTCCTTCCACGAACCAATCCTTACCTCCCAGCATAGTCACCTTACACAGATGGTGTGTGTCAAAGATATACATTTCAGCTAGTATCTGTAGTATGATTTTACGAATTACTAAATTCTTTGCACATCACTAAAATCCAACCCACCAGTTTGTAACAGTTCCTCAACTTGTTTTTGTTCTGTACTTTTCTTATCTCTGTTTTGGATACTACATTCCAAACCAGTTGCCCATGAAGATACCTATAGTAGGACATAGAATTAATGTAGTTTGATTCTGACAGATTTTGATTTGCTAATGCCAAAGCTGACTTAGTTTTACAAAGAGTTATGGGATACTTAGCATGAATGAACAAACGTAAGCATAATATCATTCAAATATAAAACTTTTTGCTAATATTTAATGCATATTGATATGGTGTGCAATTTGTATAACATATATGTATTGGCTAACAACTTGATTAATTTCTTTTGCATCTACCTACCTCCATACCCAGTGCGCTGTTCTGAAATGTGTTTCTCCAAGGTGAGCCGTAGTTTAGTAGTTCCATCTGGCTCATCTGGATTTATCTGATCCACCAAAATAAAATGGGAGTGATTGTTGTCAAGGGAGTACAGTGGCCCTTGGCCATTATCATCTGACTTGTAGCATACAAGGTTTTCATTCTAGAAAAGAGAGAGGTTAATCTTCGTAAAATAGATTTTCTATTTTTGTCTGATATTTTTTTTAAGTGGTTTTGCACTATGTCATAGAAGAAAATAAATATTCAGACACTTCCAATAAAGTCTCCTTTAAAAGTTGGGAGAAAGAGACTGGCATCTTTGTAAAAGACACCAGATTGGGCAGCGCTAGAAAATGAAGTCTTCTGAGTCTCCCTTTTGGATTCTGCAAAATATACTGATACCAAACATCTTGTTTGTGACTTGGGCATCAGTTCAGAACTTCTGGCAATATGTTTTTCTGATCTTAGACAAATGACACAGGCCACAAACCCTGATGACTGGGGAATAGAGCCTGAAGGGTTCCTAAAGTCTCTGCTCATGTAAATGGGGGTATTTCCATCGACTTCCATTGCATTAGGTCTGTCTTTACACTAGCAGTTATTTTAGTGCACTAAATGTACGTATTAATTCAAACTATGTAGCATTATTTTGTTGGCAAGACTATGTATGGTCTAATCAATCAGTTCTCAACGTGGGAGTTGCACTCTCTGGGGAGTGGGTCACAGAAAGTGTGTGTGTGTGTGTGTGTGTTTGGGGAGGGCGTAACCCTTCCTTTTTCTCCATCTTCCCCTCTCCCATCACCATATGGGTGGGATGTCCTGAAACTTTTTTTTTTCTACTGCAACATGGAATCCCTGCCCAGAAAAGGTTGAGAACCACTCTCTAGGCACAAAGGCTTTATATACATTTGCCCCATTCTGGCAATAAATCCCTTCCTCCTGGTGTCCATCTGCTATTATTTGGGTATATTGTCAGTGGCAGCTCAAACTAGGATTGCTCACCTCTCTTGTCTTCTCTCCTCATGATCCTTTACCTTAGCTCACATTGCTGTAGGATGGTTTTCAATAAATAAACACACACACGCCTCTTCCCTTTCCCCTTCCTGCCCACTGACGCTTAACACTGGGCTCTAGCAAGATACAGCCAATTCGTCTGCTCAGTCATTTTGCTTGTGTGTTGCTTTCCTTTTCCCCTCCTTCCTGCTGTCTTTTTGTTTTGTATGGGGTAGGGATGTGTCATTTTACGTGTCTGGACAGTTCTGTGCAGAGCAGTGGTACCATATAAATAATTAACTGGGGCCTGAGGGTCAGGAGCATATCTCAGTAGCCAAGGGCCAAATCCTAGGCCCAGGGGCCCTCTCCAACACCAAGCCCTTTAATGACACAGTTTGGCCAGGGGTCACAAGGAACTGAGGCGTAATCCTGAAGGGGGAACTCAATCCCACGGCATGTCCCAGATCCTTCTCGTTCTCTGGGGCCAAGGGTGAGGCACTGAGTATAGCACAGAGCACATCTGTGACACTAACTGATAAATAAAAAACATGCAGAATTAGCCCCAGGATCAAGGATCTGCAACTGGCTCTTTGGGCCATCTTCTTCTGTTGTATACACAGAAACATAACCGTGCAGATATAGGTTTCAGAGGGGTAGCCGTCTTAGTCTGTATCAGCAAAAACAACAAGGAGTCCTTGTGGCATCTTACAGACTAACAAATTTATTTGGGCATAAGTTTTCGTGGGCTAAAACCCGCTTCGTCAGATGCATGGCGTGGAAAATACAGTAGAGAGGTATAAATACACAGCATATGAAAAGATGGGAGTTGCCTTACCAACTAGGGGGTCAGTGCTAACGAGCCAATTCAATTAAGGTGGAAGTGGGCTATTCTCAACAGTTGACAAGAAGGGAGGAAAAATTACTGTTGTAGTGCTAATGAGTTTAATGTAATCAAGGTGTCCCATTTCACAGTTGACAAGAAGGTGTGAGTATCAGCAGGGGGAAAACTAGTTTTTGTAGTGACTAATTTTATAGTGACTGTAGAAAATTATGTAGAATTAGTGGTATCCTATTAATATATAAAGAAGTTCTTCCTCCAAACTCTTCTTAAATCAGCACTTTTTCTCCTGGACTCTATACTAATCAAATGTATAATACCGACACCTGCTGGATATTTGCAGCATTGCTTGTTAAGCAGGGGGAGATGTCTATGGAGTGCATGCACAGGGTGAGAATCATAATGATTCTAATATAATTTCAGATCTTTCCTGTTGTCATTTAGAGCAGCTCAATTGTTTTGCTGCCTACCATTAGCAATTATTTTCGGAGAGGCAGTTCATATTTAAATGACTATATAAGTGTTATGAGAAAAATACCTTCACATTGTCCAGAATCTCTCTGTGCTGAATTTTTCCCAGTGAAGTTATTCCTATTGCAATCACTCTTACTCTGGCTGAAGTACTAGCCAGTGTGTGATCTCGGACTGCTTGCCCGATATGCCTCGTTATTCCAACACGTAGAGCACTGGTAAAGATCCAGGCACCTGAAATCAATAAAAACATTATGGAGTTAGTTGCTTTACCATTTGGCATATAAGTACCTCTAACTATGTGTTTTGTCCAGGCTGGCTCTAGATATTCTTGGGGCCTCTGAGAAGACAATCTTTGAGGCCTCAAGCAGATATCGATAATTTGTGTCATTACATATAGAATCACAGTCAGTACTAAACAGGACACTTTTATTAAAGAAAGCAATGACGAACGATAGGCACAAACAAACATGTTTCAGACATCTTGAGTTCCAGCTTTGTCATCTTGGTTTAACAGGGACCATACTCCCATCTGGGATGTTCGATGGAGCACGGAGAATCATTTAGAGGCAGAATGATATTACTGGAAGTAAAGATATGACAGTCTGCATATCTGGGGCAGTACTACTTCTTGGGGGAACTGTGGAGGTGGCATCTTGCAGTTGGGATGGAGGACTAAATTGGGAGGACTGATCATGGGATGTTGGAAATGGCTGGTAGATGAGATGCTGCGTTAGGGTTTTTCCATTTAGCTCTATGGGAAAGTATCTGACACTCTCTTCTTCTTGCTCTCTGGTGTACTGGAGAGTGGACTCCTCAAAAGAGCAGGGCTCTTTTCATTCTTCACGTGCCTAGGGCAAGCCACGGTGGTTACCAGACCCAGATGCTGTAGTGACAGCCAAACCACTTGAGGTCGCACTCGCTAAATAATTTAGCATATTCTGCAAACTGTGTCAGTAGACAAAAAGTAAAGTAAAATAAAACTAAGTCCTTAGCAGTGTCCGCTTGTAGGTATTGAGATGACTTGCAGCATAGGAAGTGTATAGTAAGTATAAATAGCAGCTGCAATGATCTCAATAACTATTTCTGTTTATGGTACTTCTGATACTACCTTAGTACTTGGCTTTTTTGTAGTAATGAAAAGCAAAACGGCACGGTGACTTTTTCCCCCCCGGAACCAGCAAAGCAATATGAACAGAGTATATACTATATTGAGCACTAAAGTCTGCTTTAAGCACTTTATAAACTTCAAAATGCAGTTATGCTCATAAGGGCAAAGAAAAAATGGCTTCTTAACTGACAGATGTGTATTCAGAGTCCTATTGGCCAATTGTAGTGTCAATATTTCAAATACTTTTCATTCCTGTTAGCCCTGCAGTGAACACCAGGTAAAGTGAACCAGATTCTCTTCTGGTTTCTGCATCACTTAACAAAATTGTCCATTCCAATAAAAAATTCTTTATGAATGGTGAGGAGGTGATGCCCACAATAAGTCAGTTTTGACTTTCAGATTCCAGGTTGAGTTTGCTGGGCTGCCAGTTAAAAAACACAAAAACACACCCACTTTTAATCAGAAGGTGAAGAGGTTCAGGTGGTATTTTTCAGAAGTTCTCTCTTGTCTCAACTCTTTGTTCCCACTGCAGTCAAGACTGACTTCAATGGGAGTGTAGTTAGGCCAATGCTGAGTGCTTTTGAAAATCCTACCACTACTAGGGAGCTGGAGAGAGAAAATTGATATGGATCCCACTGTGACACCTTTTCCCCCATTACCTTTTAGAGTATAACTGCACTTCAAATGTTTATCAGTTGCAAGAACCACTGCCTGGAGTAATTTGGATGAAGTTGTAAATAATTGAGATACAAATTACTGCAGTATGACTATCATTAATACATATCTTAATACAGGTCTAGTCCACCATCCAGCAAAGCCTTTAAGCATGTATGTAATTGTTATACATATGAGCAGTTCCACTGAAATTAATGATGCAAGATTGGCAAATGCTGGATGGGGACTCTTTAGGGTGGAGGTAGAAGAAATTTATGTTCCCGATTTTTGGGAGTTGAACCAACCAGTGCTTTCTGCGGCCTTTACAAGTCCTTTTCTTAAGGTGTCCCGTAACCAAGGTTTCATTTGGAAGTTTTCTTCTTCTCCAACTAAGGAGACAACCAAGTTGGGAGCAGGTAGGTTCCATTTGTTGATCATAATATCAAATATAACTCCAGGATGGATGGCACATGGAACTTTAACAAACTGTAATAAACAAAAGGGCACTGAATAACAAGATAGGGGTTATACTGTACTGCTATCTCTACAAACTAATTGGTAAAATTATACCTCTCAAAACTACAGCAAATACAGAGCATAAGTTGCAGTGTGGTACACCCTCATACCACTGTAAAGTGATTTCCAATGCATTGGAACATCAGAACATGAAGAGATGTTGACTTGTTCTTCATCAAGATCATTTTGATGTGATTTCCCTTTCTCTCCCCCCTCTGTCCTCCCATTTAGTGGAAATGGTTCATATACAGTACCTGGTCATTAGCAAGATTGGTGTTCATCAAATTATGGTTTTACTGTAGAGGATGGGTCAGAGATGTTATGTATATAATTGGAACAGATGGGAAAAATCCTTCACCATAACAGTGAAATATTGTACTGATAGACCTTAATATTCAAAAAGAAGGAGTTTGTCCCCAAGAAGAGTGAGACTTGGCATGTCAGGTCAAGGTGGTGTAGGACATAAAACCTTTTGTGGACAGGAAGCCTGTGCTGGGGTGTACAAACCCCATGCTGGCAGTGACAGAGTTTAAGGGGAGCGTGACAACCCAATTAGCCCAATCTGTGTCACCTGCAGGGGAGACAGGTCATTAAGGACTAGACCCAGCTGGGGAGAACCAGACTGGGTGTTTCCTGTAAATGTAGGGCAAGAGAGAGGTGACCCCAGAGAGAGGTAGTTGGGGAGTTTGTGTTCTTTGGGAAAGGAACCACAGAGGGAGTTTGGAAGGAAGGAGTTTGTATCCTGGGACTCTCTCTGAATGGAGAAGGCAGTTGGGGAGAAGGAGACTTCAGAAGCAGGCCTGGGAGAAGAGAGACTCCAGGAGAGAGGCCCTAAGGGTCAGCAGCTCGAGAGGAGCCAGGCGTCAAGGGAGAAAGCTCTGTGAGGGGGTGCTCTGTAACAGAGGAAGGAAGAACTCTGCAGAGACTGGGAGAGGGGGAAAGAGACTGTGGAGAATTGCATCTGGAGAGGGCAGAAGAGATTTTGTTCCCTTGAGTTTAGACACCCTGTGTCACGGAATAACAGTAACATTGGCCCTTTAATGGTACGTCGACACAGCGATTAATCACCCGTGGCTGGCCTGGATCACTTGGGTTGTGCTCAGGTAGCAGGGCTGTAAAACTGCAGTATAAATGTTCAGGATCAGACTGGTGCCTGAGCTCTAGGATCCTGTGAGGGGAGAGGGCCCCAGAGCCCAGGCTCCAGCCTGAGCCCAAATGTCTACAGAGTGATTTTATTATTATTTTTAGCCCTGCAGCCCAATCATCGTGAGTCCAAACCTGCTGACCCGGGCCAGCTGCAGCCGGGCCCCGGGTCTTTTATTTGAGTGTAGACATACCCTTAGAGGGAAGAGGCCAATGTGCCTATGACTGGTCAATTTAGGCTTGACAGGGCACCTGGCCCTAGAGGGAAGGAGACCTGGAGAGTCAGAACCTGAGAAGAGTCAGATGCAGGAGGTGGTGTGGTGAAAGCTGCCTCAGACTCGGAGGCAGGGAACAGCAAGGAAGAGCTGGCAGGAGCTTCTTGGGAGAGAGCTTCAGGAGATCCAGTAGAGAAAGCTGAGTTCCTATGGGATCTGTAACAGGAGTGGTGGAGAGAACTGACACAAGCTAGGGACCCCTGTTGAGTAGAAGGCTTGGGCAGTGGCCCGAAGAGGATCGGCTTGCTCAGAAGAGCTGAACCCAGAAGCAAGAAAGCTGTTGTGGGTGCCCCTGAGCAGGGATAGAACTCACAGGCAGGCAGGTCTGGAGGAGTAAAGCATTGCAGGAGTGGGGAACCCTCTCGACGAAGAAGTGAGTGAAAGGCAGCAAGAAATGGGTCACTCTTGTCAAGTCAAGAAATGGGATGGCTGGAGAGTGAGGCCCTTGATCGGGGGCAAATGGTAACAAAGTGCTGCTGCTATTGACTTTTGGGTGGGTGCTGTGAAGGTGATCTCCATGGAGAGAGGAATGGGAAAAGCCCCCTGTATCTTTGTATGTTTATTACAAAAATTGGAGAATGGTTTGACTTACAAGATTTTAGGGTATTACTGCACTGGCGTATGTGAATAAATTTATGCCCAGGGGCAGGCTTTGTATTGGACACTGAAGGACTATGCCCCTCTTATGGATGAAAGGAAGCGAAAATTGAGGCAGGTGCCTCTGCTGGAAGCTGGTGGGTGTCCCAGGCAGGGCTGACCTATCACACTCTGTGGTTCTCTTTCTGTGACCTGGCCAGAGGGCCATGTCACTGCCCAGATCACTGAAGTCTGGAGGGGATAGTGAAACAGAGGGACTGCAATGCTGAGTCTTGCCATGAGGAAACACTTCAGGACAGTGAGTCTGACAGAACCACACATTAGGACTGATCCTGCAGATCTTGCTGAGGCAGTTCTGCCTTAGGAATTGCCATATCAGATCAACAGGTGGGCAGCCATCACCATAGTCCCTGAGCACCTCAAAATCTTCAGTGTATTTATCCTCACCACACCCCTTTGAGGTAGGGAAGTGCTAGTATCCCCATTTTATAGATGGGGGAACTGAGTCTGAGAGACTAAGTGATGCCCAAAGTCACAAGTTTTAGCTTAATACTCTTTCTGACAGAGGCCAGTACAAAATACTTCAGAAGAAGGTGCAGAAGACCCTGTAATGGACAATTATGGAAAAACCTGCCAATAGAGGAAAGTGTCTGCCCAACCTCCATCACCCAGTTTTTGACTTTTTTGTACGGAAAAGGTTTTATATTCCTTTTGTTTATTTTATTTTTAAATCTTGGATGTTATCCATATACATATCTAGTTATGTCTTTTTATCCTGTTAAGTTCTTGACCTCACTGGCATCTTATGGCAGTGAATTCTACTGGTTAATTATTCATTGTGTATCTCCCCAATATCCACAGTAGTGAGGACTGATGCATTATTGAGTTCTTCTTCTTCAATGTCCTTGTCCTCCTCAACCGCTGTCTTGACTCCTGTGGAGTCGAGCAGGCTTAACCATTTTGTCACAGACTTCTTGTTTCTTCACTACCTGAATTATTTCTTGTCTGTTTTTATGTCTTTGGCTATTTGCTCTTCAAATACTCTGTCTTCCTAATTTTCATGAGCTGCCTTAGTTTATGCTCTTTTTCCACTGGCTTCACTTGAGTTGGATTTCTACCTTCTGTGGATACCTATTTGGCTCAAATAATCTGTTGATAATTCAGTGATGCAGAGTTCAATAACAAGCAAAGATTTCTCTGCTGATGTATTTACTAAATACGATGCATGGTTTTCATAATTGGATTGGCATTAAAAGTCTAAAACAGATCAGTGATGTCAATAGGATCAGCCAGAGGAAATAAACCAAAATGCCTCAGCTCTTAAAATATTTACCAGAAGAATATAGTACATACAAGTCTACTAGACCATTGTTGTAAACTAGAACTAAGTACTGCAACCACATATCCCCATTGTACTGAGCTTTCCCAGCCCACCACTCAACTGTGGACATACTTTGATATATAATTATGATCTAATTTCCTAGGTTTCAATTTCCTAGGGCTATTCATGAGTGTGTTGTCTTCATTCTATAGTAATGTGCTTTGGAAGTAACAGTGACTTAATGTTTATATATGACACTTTAAATCACATGCTGTTTTGCTTCCAATCAGGCTTGCTTTTGTTATATACTATAAAAGGTATTGTTTTTTTAAATAAGGATGGGTACAAATTACAGAACAACAGAAACAAAAGAAAGTGTTAAAACCACCTATTTATACATATTGCCTCCAACAAAATAGGCTTCTTCAAGGAAGCCTTAGACTGTTTTAAAAAATCTACTGAACAGTAACCTATATAACTCTCAACATGCATACCACTCACACAAGCCATTGTGTGATTTTATCATTAACACCCTTTATCACTGCCTCCATGAATCTGATGCTTCCTCCTGTTTTTAATCTTAATTTTGTTGTAAGGTCTTCTGGGTGCAGACTCTAAGAGGGACTCCAGTCCCTACATGCTATTCTGATGGTGTATGTGCTGGCCTGTTGGCTGCTGGGGATAGAACCAGGGATGGGGAAAGAAATCAAACCACTGTGCCTGGTCTGGTAATGCTGTGGAGGCTGCTATAACTGAGAGCAGCTCCTAGGGCTGCCTAAATAACATCAGGGACTGTTTTGGTCCTGCAGCAGCCTACAGTCTGAAAGGCACAGTTTCCTACCTACAAGTCTCCCTGGGCTGTGCCTTCCATAGAGATGCAGCATAGTTTGATCATCCGTTTTCATTTATTTTGTACTGCACATTTATAGCGAGATATGCATAGGCCAAGATTTTAAAAGTGCCTTGTGATTTTTTGGGAACCCGTTTTTTCTTCTTTTTTTTTTTAAATACCCAACTTGAGACATCGTAAAGGTGCCTGATTTTTCAAAGGACGGGTGCTCAGTCCTTTCTGAAAATCAGGCCCCTTAAAAGTTGTAGCAATTTTTTAATCACTAGTCCTGTTTTTTTAACTTTGGCTGCTAGTAACCATTTTAAAAGTACACCTCTACCCCGCTATAACGCTGTTCTCGGGAGCCAAAAAATCTTACCGCGTTATAGGTGAAACCGTGTTATATCGAACTTGCTTTGATTCGCCGGAGCGCGCAGGCCCGCTCCCCCCCCCCCCGAGCGCTGCTTTACCGCGTTATATCCGAATTCGCGTTATATCGGGGTAGAGTTGTATATTTGTTGTTGCAGTTTAGATAGGAAATCCCACTGGATTTTTGTATCCTTCCTCCTTTTTCTTTTGCATCTGCCTATTTTGAATGCGTGAGTTTGTTACCTTTGTATGGTCACTAAACCACACGCATTGCTCTGGCATCTGAGCACCTTCCAAAGTTAAAAAATAAATAGTTAACTGACATAGGTGAGGCTTTCACCTTCTCTGTGTTGTATATTGGGGAATAAGTGACACCAGAGTCTTGAAGGTGTCATTTGTCTGAATACGATTGTGAATGCAAATGCATATCCCTTAGCAAAGTGGCTCTCAACCTTTCCAGATGACTGTACCCCTTTCAGGAGTCTGATTTCTCTTGGTTACCCCCAAGTTTCACCTCTCTTAAAAACTACTTGCTTACAAAATCAGACACAAAAATACAAAGTCACAGCACACTGTTACTGAAAAATTGCTGACTTTCTCATTTTTACCACATAATTATAAAATAAATCAATTGGAATATAAATATTGTACTTGTATATCAGTGTATAGTCTACAGAGCAGTAGAAACACGTCACTGTCTGTATGAAATTTTAGTTTGCACTGACTTCACTAGTGCTTTTTACGTAGCCTGTTGTAAAACTAGGTAAATATCTAGGTGAGTTGATATACCCCCTGGAAGGCCTCTGCATACCCCTGGTTGAGAACCACTGCCCGAGAGGCAGGAGTGTCCAGTGGTTTGAATGCAGGGCTGGGAGCCTGGGATGCCTGAGTCCTCTTCCCACCTTTGCCACTGATTCATCTTAACATTACTTTGCACTTTACACATTTTGGGACAGATCCTTAGCTAGTGCAAATCAGTATGGTTTCATTACGGCAAAGTAGCTATGCTGACTTACACCAGCTGAGGATCTGCTCAGAATCCCAAGCCTTCATCAGCACAAGACTTGGTGCATGGCTAAGAGGAGAGGTGTTCTGGAGTCTCCGTGTCTGCGGAGGACTTGACTTGTGGGAGTTTTCCTAGGTAGCATCCAAGAGAGAGATTATGAATATGGGACGGGCAGAAGGTAACAGAAACTTCTTCTGGAAGTGCAGAGGGAAGAAGTCAGGGTAGAATTTTAATAAATTAAAAAGGTAAAGGGTACATTTTTAAATGTTTTAAATAAATAGAAGTTTAAAAAATAGATTGATGGGCAGAAGCTGAAATAGGCAAATGATATGCAAATAGACAAAGCTGGGAAGGGTAAACTAAACTAAAAAAGTGTAAATGGTTCAAAGCCATCCAGTTGTGCATGATGCTTATTTATGTAACCAAGTGATCTTATTACGGTCACCTCCCCCTTCCTCCTTTCTTCTTGTTTGTTCCATTTATTTGTGTCTTATCTTAAATTAGATTGTAAGCTCTTTGGGGCACAAACCATGACTTCACATGGGCATGTGTAGCACATAGCACTGATGCCCCACTCCTGTTTTTGAAACTTTGCACGCTACTGTAATGCAAACCAAATAATCTGACAATAGGAATAGAAGTCAAGAACCTGACTTCTCCCATAATAGGAACTTATCATACCTTCCCACGTTTCTTTCCGGAAGCCATGAAGTCAATTTCTCCTGTACAGTATGGCAATTCCCTTCTGAATGCTTCTTCTTTGTCATTACTGCAAAGTTTGGCTTCTGTGTCTTCCATTGGAGCAGTGGTATGATAATTAGTGCAGATGGATTCTCTGAAATAATGGAGCACTTAAAGATGAGAGTTCAAAAATATTCAGGTTAGATTGGGAAAGTTGCAAAATTTGCCAAAGTTAATAAATAACAATTACTCTTCATTCAGAGTGTTCATACGTATTCCCCTATTTTACCCTTTAGCACAAGAAGAGTCAATTATTTTTTTTGTTGAGATCCACATTTCTTGGTGAAGATCCAGACCAGAGAATATAATTAAAAATTAATAACAATAATTATAATAAGTAAATAAAAAGATTTTGGGGTCTGTTCAAAAGCATCTGGCTGTCTGGATTTGGCCCGCAGTCCACCTATTGACTACCCCTGCTTTAGCATTTTGTCTTAATATTAATATGTTATAGTAGTAGCATAACATTATATTACAGCCAAGACTGGAGTCCCATTTGCTAAGCGGTGTGAGGGCTGCCTCCTACTGTGCATAGATACAGCAGAGTTTAGGATCCAAGTAGATGAGACAAAGGAAGTACTATTATACTTCTCTTGCAGAGAGGGAGCCAAAGCACAAAGATTTGAAGTGAGTTGCCCAAGGTCACATGGGAAATCTACGGCAGAGCCAGGAATTGAACCAAGGTCTCTCAAGCTGAAAAGAGGGGCCTTGGCATGAAACAACAGCTGTGGTCGTGGCAGCAACTAGTGATGTTTGTGTTGCAACTTCTTGGTGTTGTCATTCCATTGTGCTATCCAGATGCTATGTTGTTGTGTTGTGTAGCAAACCAAAATAATACAGTTGATGCTTTTGTATTGGCCTGAAGCTATTTCTGGGGAGGTTCAGCCCTAGCTGTTCATGGGAATGACTCACTGATTGCATATGTCCCATTTTCAGCGTGTGAGACTTGCATGGTCTGTAGTTGTCGGGCACAACATAAAAGTCCCACGCTCCCATCCATACGAGGATGTACATATGCATCTGCAGAAGAGGGAAAGCCCACCAAGACAATATGCTCCCAACGTTGCAGAAACTCACCTATAACTAAAATCCATGTGAAGTTCCTCATGCGTTGACCTGTGTGAACCTAATGGAACTGTGCTATGTGTTGGGGTTTAAACCAGCAATTCAGTCAGTGCAATCTGTTTGTCATGTGTCTGCTACTCTCTGTGTCTACTACACAGACTGGCTAAAGAAGATAGATTATCAATCATGCTAGGGTTGAAAAAAGCAAAACCACCCTACACCTGCATGGAAATTGTGTCTAAGTGTATCCCTCAAATACCTAAGCATGCCTCAACCTGCCCTCCCTTTTTGTATTGTCATCCCCTTGGAAGTTTGTTTGTGAATGAGCATTTTCCTCACAACTACTGCTTATTCCAATGAAACACTTGTCAGCCCATCTGTGAGTGACTTAAAGAAACAAGCATTAACACATTCAGTTATTAAAAGTGAATGTGCCCAAATCTTGTGCCTATATCCACGACAAAAATAAACAACCTCCCCACTGCTTTTAACTAGATTTTGCCAGAGTTCACAAGCCCCCAAAACTGACTGCAAAATCCAGGTCTCCTTTTTTTATATGGAATATGGATAATTTTTTTTTACTAAACAGATGTTTCCACATTCTTCGTCCTTTTTAAAAAAATGAGGTCTGTTCCAGCAAGTCAGGACTCATGAGTGCCTCTAGAATAACAGGTTTCAGAGTAACAGCCGTGTTAGTCTGTATCCGCAAAAAGAAGAACAGGAGTACTTAGTCTCTTAGTCTCTAAGGTGCCACAAGTACTCCTGTTCTTCTTTTTTCTAGAATAACAGGCTAGAGTGGTTAGGGAGTAAAAGTCCTGTAAATGAACAGATTCTGTTTCAAGGATCAAAACACAAACAATAGTGAGTCTCTTAAAATGATATTTCAGTGATCCACTGGGGGAAGATGGCATATAAGCATGCTGTCCTCCTCTTCAAGTCCCCTGCACAGCCTGCATGATGTCTATTTCTCTGCTCTCTCCTTTTACAACCCCTCTTTCTATTCTCTCTGCCTTTAGTAACTGTCCCTTCCTTGTGCAGCCTGCTCCCACCCTTGACTTCTAAACAGCGTTGCAACCCTTCCTTCATACAGATTGCCACACTTTTACCTTCTCTGTGAAGTCCCTCATCCCACACAGTGAAGTGTTTGCTGATCCATAGCTCATTTTTAAAAAGCATGGGACCTACAAGTTATATGCTCTCCTTCACTCTTCAGTCCTGCTGCTTTTGGCCACTTTTCAAACTTTCTCCCTCATCTGTATGTTATCTGTTTAGATGATGAGATTTTTTTGGAGCATGGGCCTTGTCTTCATGCCCGTCTGTCAAGCTCCTAGCACTCTGTTGGCTCTAGACAAACAATAAATAATCTCCGTAACTGATTGCCAGACAAATAATGGTAACATTCAGGCTATATAATGAATTAACAGGAGAGAGTTGTGGATGGGGGAGGCATATGAGAAGAACTATGTCTGACCACATGCATCTGGATTTCTTTCAAGTGTGGAGGTGTCTGGATCTGAGAGTTTTGATTCAGGTCCATCACTACCTGTGAAGTTATAAAAATCCCATTGTAGACGAATTACATTTACCTTAAATAATGGGATTTCAGATTCACTCCCTTTCTTAGATCATCATCATACTACAACCAAACTCACGTTTTATTTGTTAAGTCCACTTTATCATTGGAGATGCTGCTCTCTCTTCCAATAGCTTTGAGGACAGTATTCTGGAAAAGAATACATTTGGTTTAGAATACTCTGTAATTTGCTTTTAGCAATTATCCTTTTACAATGGAATTTATTCACTGAACAAAAGGTTCTGATGAGAATACAGGTTTGAACTAATGTGAATTTAAGGCCCTGTTCACTATGGCCCCGGGCGGTAATTGATACCTGTGCAAAGTACTACCAAATCAGAAAGGGTAATGTGTAACTTTGATTTTGCACTGGTGTAAATGACTGCACAGGGTATTGGTAGATTGGGCCCAACAAATTTTATATAAAAGAGGAAGGAAAACTTTATTATATGAAATGTTATTATTAAAAGTTCACCTACAACCCTTTACCCACGGACAAATTCTTACTAGTGTCCATAGTAGATGCAGTCCAGGAAGTAAGGCAGGATATAGCCCCAAGGCTAGATGGAAATCTGTTAATCAAAAGTATCTCATAGAATATCAGGGTTGGAAGGGACCTCAGGAGGTCATCTAGTCCAACCCCCAGCTCAAAGCAGGACCAATCCCCAACTAAATCATCCCAGCCAGGGCTTTGTCAAGCCTGACCTTAAAAAAAACCTCCTAAGGAAGGAGATTCCACCACCTCCCTTGGCAACCCATTCCAGTGCTTCACCACCCTCCTAGTGAAAAAATTTTTCCTAAACCATCCCAGTTCCCTCAGCCTCTCCTCATAACTCATTTGCTCCAGCCCCCTAATAATTTTTGTTGCCCTCCGCTGGACTCTTTCCAATTTTTCCACATCCTTCTTGTAGTGTGGGGCCCAAAACTGGACACAGTACTCCAGATGAGGCCTCACCAATGTTGAATAGAGGGGAATGATCACGTCCCTCGATCTGCTGGCAATGCCCCTACTTACATAGCCCAAAATGCCGTTAGCTTTCTTGGCAACAAGGGTACACTGTTGACTCATATCCAGCTTCTTGTCCACTGTAACCCCTAGGTCCTTTGCTGCAGAACTGCTGCCTAGCCATTTGGTCCCTAGTCTGTAGCAGTGCATGGGATTCTTCTGTCCTAAACGCAGGACTCTGCACTTGTCTTTGTTGAACCTCATCAGATTTCTTTTGGCACAATCCTCTAATTTGTCTAGGTCCGTCTGTATCCTATCCCTACTCTCCAGTGTATCTACCACTCCTCCCAGTTTAGTGACATCTGCAAACTTGCTGAGGGTGCAGTCCATGCCATCCTCCAGATCATTAATGAAGATATTGAACAAAACCGGCCCCAGGACCAATCCTTGGGGCACTCCGCTTGATATCAGCTGCCAACTAGACATGGAGCCATTGATCACTACCCATTGAGCCCGACGATCTAGCTTTCTATCCACCTTATAGTCCATTCATCCAGCCCATACCTCTTTAACTTGCTGGCAAGAATACTGTGGGAGACCGTATCAAAAGCTTTGCTAAAGTCAATGAATAACATGTCCACTGCTTTCCCCTTATCCACAGAGCCAGTTATCTCGTCATAGAAGGCAATTAGATTAGTCAGGCATGACTTGCCCTTGGTGAATCCATGCTGACTGTTCCTGATCACTTTCCTCTCCTCTAAGTGCTTCAGAATTGATTCCTTGAGGTTCCTGCTCCATGTTTTTTCCAGGGACTGAGGTGAGGCTGACTGGCCTGTAGTTTCCCAGATCCTCCTCCTTCCCTTTTTTTAAAGATGGGCACTAGCTTTTTTCCAGTCATCTGGGACCTCCCCTGATCGCCATGAGTTTTCAAAGATAATGGCCAATGGCTCTGCAATCACATCTGCCAACTCCTTTAGCACCCTCGGATGCAGCGCATCCAGCCCCATGGACTTGTGCTCATCCTTTTTTTTTTTTTCTCCACAGAGGGCTGGTCCCATGCTGTGCTGCCCAGTGCAGTAGTCTGGGAGCTGACCTTGTTCGTGAAGACAGAGGCAAAAAAAGCATTGAATACATTAGCTTTTTTTTTTTTCTCCCCACATCCTCTGATGTTAGTTTGCCTCTTTTATTCAGTAAGGGGCCCACACTTTCCTTGACTTTCCTCTTGTTATTAACGTACCTGAAGAAACCCTTCTTGTTACTCTTAACATCTCTTGCTGTATTTTATGTTTTATCTGTTATATTTTATGGCGGTGTAGTAAGACTCCTGCTTGGGCTCATCTTGAAAGTTTGAATCTGAATTCAAACTTGACCAAAGTTTGGGGATATTTCAATCTGGAGGGTTGGTTTGGACCTTAGAGATGGGCCTGCATCACAAATTTCAGGTCTGGAACCAGCTCCAAATTTATCCAAAGTCTGGGCATGTTCTAGCCAGATTTTGTTTTCAGGACAAAGATGCTCAGATGATGAGAGGTATACTTTCTGGGTATCCATTGATTAACTCTATTAACAACTTCAGGTTATATACAGAAGTTTTTGTCTGGCATTTTGGATAGTTATTTTTACAGATACAATCCCCTAGACTGACACTAATTCTGTGACCCTACATCTGACCTGCTCTTTTGGAGACTAGATGGGCAACAATGGGGCAATAATAAAGCACCTTCATGCAGTGATCAAGACGTGGGGGCTTCAATCACTGGCCTGGTTTGTGATAATACTGGATCCAATGTTAGTAATAAACAGTACAGCTGCCCAGCAGATAGGGTTGTGATCCAAGAAGGCATGCCTGCATTATACAAAGCAGGAAAGGTGGTTCTGACAGCAGAGTGGCAAAACATCAACCCTGAAATTGGGCACAATTCAAGATGGCATCTATGCAAGCACCTCCTACAGTTATTTTTATTTAGAGAGAGAGAGAGAGAGAGAGAGAAAATCAGATTAGATAAGACATTGAGCTATTCTGGTATGGAATTTCTTAGTTTCCTGTGCATCTTGTCCAGGTGATATTGCAGATAATTCCAACAGATGGCACTGCATTTCTTAGTAAGAACTGACTCTAATTCCAGTGTTTACTTATTCCCCTTGTATCTATTCTCTAATCACCCAGAAATAAATAGTCAGTTGGACTCTTAATATGGTTGCACTTAAATGCTGATTCTGTTGCGTGTCTGGCATAGCACTGTGACAAGCAGTAACTGATGAAACTAGTAAATGTTGCTTTTGTATTAATGCTTTTTGGAGGGGACATTCATAGATTCTAAGGCCAGAAAGGACCATTGTGATCATCTAGACAGATCTCCTATATAACAGAGGCCATAGAACTTTGACATTGTAAGGGGTGCTCTCTGCATTCAGCAAAAACATGAAAACAAACTCCATGAAAATAGCGTGACTCGTTTGCCATAAAGATCATATCCAAACGATTTGCAGATATTGCCTTCAAATGCAAATACCAAACACTGGTTTTGTGCCACTGCTGTTTTGCATTTGTTGTTCCAGGCAGCTATGGAATGGAATCCTTATGATTCACAATACAACACAAACAGTCTAGCATCCAGGTCACTTGCCTCCATTTTCAAAATGGAGATGGGCTTACACTGAAATACCTCCCAGAAGCTAAAGGTTTTCTTCACCTTCCCTAAAGTTTTCTAAACTAGTACAGATTATCTTTATTTTAATGCTTCTACTATCATGGCGAGCTATCACTGTGCTGAGCTAGAACACAACATTGTTCTTTTAAGGGCCAGCTTTTTATTTGAAACTATGTACTGCAATGGGACTGTAGCAGGTATTCAACATAGAGCAGCACATGAGTTGCATTTTCCCCTAGGTATTTAATATGCTAGGCAGCAATGAAGAGGATAAACAAAAATAAATTCTATTATTTCCTCCTGGATTGGTCAGTGTTTGTTCTTTACAAAACAAACCTTGCATTGACAATGTATTGACTAATGATCTATTACAATTAATTGTAATTTCATTGGGCTCCTCTTGTTCTTGGATCTTCTTGAAATGCTCCCCTTTGAAGTCAGTGGAAAGACTCTCATTGGTTTCAATAGGCATTGGATCCAGCCCTAAAACTGCACTGAACTCCAAGTGCATCATGTTGGGCCAGATCTTCACATGGTATAAGTCAGCATATTCCATAGAAGTCAGCTGAGCTTTGTTGGTTTACATCAATTGAGGATGTGGTCCATTGTTTGATTGTAAGCAGAACTGATTGGAAAAACCTGGGGGGGAAATATGTTGCCTTTTTTCCCCTCTAACATTTTAATGAAAATTTCATTGTAAAATCAAATTTTCAGAAAATTTCAATGAGTTCTAAATCTGAGCGTTTCCACTCTCCGTGAGGCCAACAGATGCCCAAACCTAAACAAAAATAACTGATTTTAAAAGGTGAGCAGTGGAGGGGGGGGAAGGGGAAAGTGAAATGAGACTTTCCCACCAATGTGTGTTTGTGTGTGTGTGTGTGTGTGTGTGTGTGTGTGTGTGTGTGTGTAGTTAAAAACCAGCCAACCCAAACACAATGTATTTGACAGTCTTACTTTAGGTATGGATCAGGTCTAGATAAATAAATCTTTTTATAACTTTACTATCTATATAAAAGATAGGTATTATTAATATTAGT